ATATCTTAATGCAATATTTTGACCGTGTATTGTGTTTGATCATCTTTATGATAACTGTGTAAAATCGTCAAATTATATACTATTATCGGTGAGTACAAACAGGTTCCATAGACTAAACTGATAAACTGCTATGTACTTGGCGGTAATGACATGTAATTCATGTAACGTCATTACGTCACTATTAGATTGAAAATGATGAAAAATGTGATTGCAGTTTCATTGAAACGACGCAGAGTGGTTACTCTTTCACATCTATAGTCTAGCCTGTCTTAATATAAAACGTGATAATTATTCAACCGCAATTATGTAAAAGGAATATCATAACTTAATATAAAAGAAATATTAAACAAGATTTCTATAACCTTAGAATTAAATCCAAAAAGAATTGAATGTTAAGAAGAAGGGCAAACATAATTATACATATATGCATAATTTGCCATTATAGCATAGGATTAGCGTTCATAGCAAATTTTTTCTGTTCGTGATTGTTAGAAATATTCTTATTCTAATAAAATTTAAATGCCTTTATTTAGAATTTGCTATTTCAAAGATTTTGCAAATTCTTACAAATTTTTACATTGAATCCGATTGATCATTCCAATATAATTATTCTACGTGCATAATACACTGTCCGCAGAATCTCTAATTGTATCTTTCATTATCTCAGATGACCCTAACTAAAAATAATATAAAATTATTGTTCTAATTTCATACTCATCAATATAAATGTAATTTAACTCATGGTATTACATAACAATTATTGAGCGCAAAATTATAATGTTGATATTATGTTACTTGTAGTTTGTATCGATTGGGATAATAAAAAGAATGTTCGCTGACTTACAAAAATATTTGTCACGACAGTGAGTTGATACGACAGGTCGATGCTCGTACCTTTGGCGTGTCAGCGATAAGCCTGTGCCGCTTCATGAAACTCAACGCACGTACGTGCACACACATTTTGCATTGTCGGCAGTCGCGTTGCACGCGCATGTATAATACTAGCGAAGCTTATCTGCCGATTGCAGCTGCACCGCAATCTAGCCTGGCAAAGCTAATTGAATTTTCTCCCCGAGATCGTCGTAAGAGAAGCCAGAACTCGCTGATGGAAGGACCTTTCACAGAGAAGCTCCTTGTATCCGCGACAAAAGGCACGCGTGTTACACGACCGAATCGCGATAATACGCGTGGCTGCTGCTGTGTGGAACTCTTTAGCGTTGCAAGTTGCAACGCGCCGCAATCCCGCGTCGGCTCGGCCCAAAGTCACTCGCGGTTCTTACAGACATACCGTCGTTAGACTAGTGACGTTTTTCTACAACTAGCGCTCATGGGTTCTCGACCCCGACGAATTCAAAGAAAAGAATTCAAGAAACTGAACATCGATACGCATTCCTGAAAAAAGTAGTCATTTATGAATAATACGACGAATGTAAGATACGATTAGTTCTATAACTTTTATTGATAATGTCAGTATCATTATACCTACTGTTGTTGCGTATTATATAGATACAATAAAAAAACTGTGCGATAATACAATGATAACGATAACATAACGGTAATGAATTGTGGAAACTTACAAAATACAGATATAAAGACGTAAATCAAATCGGCAAACTATTAATTTTGAAATCCTCTTTCTACCTCAATATTATTTATGACTATTAACTTTGGGATTATAATTGAAAACAATTGGAAAAAGCTCTAATATCATCCCCGAGTATTTTATAATCTCGATTTCAACCGTTAGATTATATATAATATAAGTGTGCCGCGCGAAGTATTTCAAAGACATCCCTTATTTTCGACACGCCTACACGTCCCAGATTGGCCTCGAATTACACGTGTCGACCACCCCACGTTGTATCGGCTGTGTATCGTAAATGCCACCCAGGTACCTAATCACCTTTCCTTTCGAAGCCTACACCTTCTCGTGAGTACCTGCGGACTGCTTGGCAAGTGCTTCATTCGACAGCTTTATTAAAGATCATTTTAATAAATCACTATCGGAAAATGTAATGCAGCCACGATATTAGTTGGAAAAACTCAATCGTGAGACGTAACACATCGGAAGACGGCGAGTTTTACTCCTTCTTCCTTCCTTCCTCTACGAAAATAAGCGTGATCGCATATCTATGCAAATGCAAATATACACTCCGATTATAGATCGTGAAGTATAATGGCGGCTAGATCCCTCTATAAATACGTACGGCATATTTTCCTCGAATCGACGAATATCTCAGCCACGAGTTATTGTTTTTGCTGGCCGGCACGTGCACCTAGTTTATTAAATCAAAAGGAGAAGCGTACACAACGTTATTGAGCGAATCGAGCCGACTCCCACGTATGTCTCTCACTTCGCAGAGACGTAAACCCTTCTTTCTCTTCGACGTGAACTCGACGCCCATGCAGTCGCTGGTCGGACGATCACGTAGGATGCGAGTCTCGTGTTTTATTTTTTTCTTCTTCTCTTCGAATGTGACAGGTACAGGCGTGTATGTGAAATATTGCCGTGAGGAGACAGGAATGAAGATTTGTGTTGAGCATGAGTCAAATAAACAGTTTCTTAACTCCCTCTATGAGTGGTTCGATTGCTTGAACATCAGCTGATCAGCTTTGTCAAAATTTTGATCAATTTTAACCGTGGAAAAAATTAATTAATTTTTATAATATATGTTAAAAAACGTTTTATACATAGAAATAAATATTATAATATTAAATTGTGCAGAGTTTTGCGTAAGAAATTTTATTATATTCGATTTCATAAAGTTTCTCCGTTTCTCGCAATCATAATAGTACGAGATTAGCTTAGACAAAAGAAAAGAAAATTCACACAGGAACTTATGTACCTCGGATGTTAAGTCGCTGTCGCCATACTCTCTGGTCCTGTGTGATGATGATTACCTTAACGAGCATATACTACTGTCATTGCATAATGGCTCCTACGCGTCTCTTACCTCAGACACAAATCCGTAGAGACTCTTATACGCGGAACAGCTAATATAAGATAAAATTGCCGGACGTGCTTATCTGTAACTACCGAGGAACTGATCGAGGACCTCTTTCCCCACGGTGCGAAACTCAGCTACCATATATGTATAGTTCACTTCTTTTTCAACAATACAACGCGGAACTTGCTGTGCCATATTATATTACATCTTAATTTATTTACGTAATAAGATAATCTCAGGTCGCTTTTCCAACTCGAATTAATTATTTTCACGAATTACTATGCGTGATTGCTGCTGCTGATAATAATTGTTATACATGTATAAACATACTAAATATCATAAATATGAAAACACATATTACGAAATAAAAAAATAATATTATATAAAGCTCTATAATTTATATAATCGTAATATTATAGCTTATATAATAATATTATTCATTTTCTTTTCAATTTTAATTTATATTTGTTTCAAATTATAAATTTTATAAATTACACAGGTCTACATGGTTTCTTTTTTTTTTATACGAGATTGGTTTCCGATGTATTTTTGTACGCTGAAAACGATTGTGGGGTCCAAAAGTGCCCATCACGTCATGATTTTGAGAAAAGTGGGGATTAAACCCGCGAAAAACGTGTTTTTGGGTGTTTTGATCCCTATTTTTCTCAGAAACCAGATGAGCTAGAGACTTCAACCTTTACTCAAATTAAAGCTTGAATCTTACACTACAAGAACCATATATGCAAATTAAAAAAAAAATAAATTATTTTGTATAAAATGGGGTTAAACCTCTACGGCCCTGTTATTACGATCGAAAATTGGGCCGTAGAGGTTTAACTTAATTTAAAGTTTAACCCCATTTTATACAAAATAGTTTTTTTTTATTGGCATATATGTTTCTTGTGGTATAAGAGTCAAGCTTTAATTTGAGTAAAGGTTGAAGTCTCTAGCTCATCTGGTTTCTGAGAAAAATAGGGATCAAAACACCCAAAAACACGATTTTTACGGTTTTGACCCCCATATTTCTCAAAATCATGACGTGATAGGCACTTTTGGACCCCAGAATCATGTTCAGAGCACAAAAATACGTCAAAAACCAGTCTCACATCAAAAAAAAAAAAAAAAAAGTGAATTTTGTAGACCTGTGTTATTATTCATAAAATATAATTTGTGGAATAAGAATGTAAATTGCATGTATTTTTCAAGAAAAGTAATATTTATTATTATTACACTTATTTATTAACAATTCTTAATACATTTCAAAGTGAATGTATAAACCCATTAATATCTGCAAAGTAGGCGATGAATTTATCAATTATAACCTCTCTCTATCTTGTGCACATAAGCACTCAATTTACAATCTCATTAATCCCTTCCTTCATATCCTAGGTGGGCATTTCTCGTTTGCGAGACGCAAGAAAAAGTTCTGAAGCGAAAGAGTAGGGCCTGTCTCTCTTCGAGCGAACGGCTTGGTTCCGTGGATATATGCCCTTCTTCTTACAAACGCGGGTACCGTCATCGCCCCCGCAGTTCCTCGGCGCACGCACACGATGGCACGCGTGTATACAGTCGCGTGTATACTACACAAGAAGGTCGTTCTCTTTCCTCTGCCTCGTCCGTTCGCTGGTGCGAGGCTTACTATGTCGATTTACTCGCGCGTTTGCCAGTCGCGATAGAACGCTCTCGGAGCGCGCACCGCAGTGCATCCGTCGCCGTGCATTTCAAACCGGTCTCAGGTCTACCTCGAACTTGGTCGAAATTTTCATCAAGAAAATTCTCATATTTTAATATTCATTACACGATGTCTTTTTAAATAGCAATTCGAGGACAATTCACTTCGTGTGAAATGTGCAAAGCGATTTATTTACGCGAGATCTTATATGCCGAAATGCGCGCCGGCAATCACCTCTCGTGCATTCTGTCGATGCAACGCGATTGTGACTGGTGGTGAACCCATTCGTGTTGTGACCGTCGCGCGTAAATTGCTCTCTGGTTTAAAACAGTGAACTTGGATGCAGATCTCAATGCCGCACATTCGTCAACTTTGAATGTTTGGCGCGTATTGACGCGCGGGCTATTGGGTGTCCAGGCCGCTCAGCTGTGAATTTAATTGAAGTGTGAGTATACAATACTGAGAATAATATAAAATTTGTGTTTGATATTCATGAGATATCGCCTCATTTTACTTCTCTTTAAAAATCAGAAATGTGCGTACGAGTTTCCGTCCCGTCTCTCACTGCGCCTGTAATGATATGCCGATGCGTCCTTCGGATGCACGTGACTGCAACACATCGGTTCGCCGATGATGCATCGCAGGAAACACTACTGTTTCCTATTACAATTCCAAATGGAAAATTTTGCAGCGCATAATTAATATACATTGTACTCCAAAGCTATGCAGAATGACTTCTATCTTGAATTAACAGTAAAAAGTATGCATAATTGTTTATTATTTTTTAATTTAGATGTCTGAAGAATATAACGAATGAACTGGTACACTTTATATTTCTTTTTATTTGTAAGATTCTTGAATGATACATATACATATATATTACATGTGTATAACCGGAGCTGGGAAAGTTACTTTATGAGTTACTTACAAGTTACTTTTTATTTTAGAAATTGAGTACGATAAGTTCGGGAATTTCATTTTTTATATTATATTTTATCATTTGCTTCAATTTTGTGTACTGCTTTTTACTCAATTTCTATTATAAATACATAGAAAGTACTCTAAAAAGTAACTCATAAAAATAACTTTTCCAACTCTCTGTACTTAACAATAATGCCGTATAATGATAAAGTATAATTTGCAATGACAAAGGCACAAGGAAGAAACTATTTTCATTAGCTTCTCCTCACCGCAACATCCCGCAGTTAGCGGAAAAGCATCCGTTTACTCTGCACATGCGATCTTTGAGCTTCTGGTTTCCGTATCTGCAGCTGACTTTAATGTTTGTTCGAGCGCGTAGGCTTTTTCTTGCTTTCCACACAGTAGGCGTGCGTGGACACCGTTTTGGACATTGCAACCGCCTGGTTTCACTCCGACATCAAATTACATGGACGCACTTAAATGTGTACCGTTGAGAACGTCCGGTTTTTCCACGAGCGAGCTTCCCGCCACTTTCCACGTTTGTTGAGCCCAGCAATCACAGTCCTGGACACTACTTATCGAAAGATCGCCGCACCAATTACGGTTTTTCTACGACCTTGCGAGAGGAAACGTACAAAGAGATTAATTCAAATGTAGGCTGTTCTTTACGACTTCCAGTAAATGTTCTTAAGAGTACATTGCATGGGCGGGAGCCCACGCCAAGTGAAATCCGGAGCGACAATTTCACTTGTGTTGCTCGTAACGTACCTAAAAAATAAGTAGTTCTTAAACCTGCAGTAGATCATGAATTTTTTATCGCAATCCTCTTGTATTATGTATTCTCTATCATATCGCTCTCTGTATATCGACTGAAGCTCCTATTATGCATACTTTTCTGATTTGTTATGCAGATCTTTTAATACAAATTGACCATTTGAATATAATTATAGATAAAGAGGTGAAAGGAACATCTGATAAAACGCGCGAGTCGAGAACTATTATCGCATGTTGCCTCGATCCATCAGAACAAATTAATCGAGTTGATAGCCGGTTTATAGTTGTACTAGTTATGTTGCTTCCTCAGTTCAACGCTCGCGATTTAATGCGGCAAACGATCTGTGAATCCTGATTTCAGGTACGAACAAGGAGGAATGTTGAAGCACGTGTCTATCTCGCCGTGGAGAGGGCGGGCGGACAGCGTGAGCCTCTCTTCTAGCGGCGGCGCGAGTAGCTGCGGAAGCGGAAGTCCTACCCCCGGTCACACACCGCCACCCTCGAGAGCATCATCGTGTGCATCCCTAGCACCCTTAACCGCCCTTTCGAGCTTCTCCCCGGCTGATACCGCGCCCCAACAGGTGAGTACCCTGTGATTATGTTCCTACACATTTTCAGGATTCACTTCGTATTTACAGCGGAAACTTCCGTAGAATCGTTAATCCGGTAACGAAAACCGGGAGGGATCCCAGTAGACCCCCAGCACTCTAAACTCATCGCTCACGCGAACAAAATTGCTTTTCGATTAATATTCTCGATCAATTTTTTTTTTATTTATATCGCAACAGATTGTCTGCTGCGATACAGAAATTTATTTGATAAAGACGTGAAGATTGTTCTGGGATATGTTTTATATTTAACAGTGAACGCAATAATTCAACTGACGTATAACGTGAATGAAAGCACGATAGGACTATTATTATAATGTAACGCGTGATGGTTTCATGTCGCCTGCGGGAGATGGTTAAGAACAACGCGGGAGAGTGTAAAAAGTAGTGATGTTGCGTCCAATAAAACAAACGAGGAAAACAAAACCGCATTCGCGGGCGATATGTTAAGTGACGTAAAGCGGTTTAGCGAAAATGAGAGCAGTATGTTTTCTGAACACTTATTAACAGCTGGATCACGTGTGTCCGCCTGACGTCGCTTGATGGATTCGTCATATTTAATCCATGATTATTTCTGCTGCTTAATCCGTAATAACACGTCACACCTTCGTTCTGAATGCAATTATAAATATGATAAAGTAATATATTTAATAAGTAGATCAGTAATGGCAGCAATAAAAATGCTACTATTGTAATAAAAAATGTTAAAGAATGTAATTTTATTGTATATTGATATAAGAGAGACTAGCGATTAATATTGTTAAAATAATAGCTGCATTGTAAAGTTGAACATTTAAAATATGTATATAAGTTAGGACTGTTTTCAATGACATAATTTCTCACGATTTCATGCGGTTTGGCGTTCCTTTTTGTGCGAAAAGAAACATGAGTCTCTCGAGAGTCTTCATCCTGGCAAGGGACGTTTAGGAAGAGCATATTTTTCTTCACCATCTGCACAGACCCTGAACACATGCTTACTGTCATCCGAAATCTCTTTTCTTCCCCGCCCGAAAAATATCGGGTATACTTAAAGATTATTGGTCTTTAATGGCCAATTTTTTCACTTTTAGATAAGTTGCAGATAACTTTATTCAGAAGATATCTCCATATTGTATTCTGGGAGTTATCTCCTGGATAAAGGTTATCAGAGGTGAAGAAACTGGGCATAAATCGATTTTTAAATGCAAAATAACAATTTTAGAGTAATTTCAAGAAACAGCGATTTACCTGAAAGAGAATAGTCTCTCGTGGATATTTTTCATAAGAATAAAATAATGCAACCGGTTGTAAGCGGCAAAGTGCAGGAATTTCCTAAGGCGATTAAATGCTTTTTGCAATTTTATACGCTTGATTACGATCAAGGTCGTCATATTTAGAATTTTTAATGTACTATACGCGCAAACGTCACCATCCTCGTTTCCACTTGAGCTCTAAATATTACACGTGCAATTCTTCTCCATGCGGCAAAGACTTTTCATTGTATTTACGCTTGTCTGACCCGTTTCGCACGCGGGTTGCAGAGGTCGTCACGGAATATATAAGTCGCTTCCGTTATAATCAGAGATACCGGTCGTGCGTGCCTTTTTATATAATTATACTTTATAAGTAATCTCTTAATAACGTACGAAAAGTTGATATTTAATTAGTATTCCAATTATAATTGTAATGACTTCATTTAATTCAATAAACATTTATGGACAATGTTTTGAACACAATATTTTATACGATCACGACTGTTTGATATTAAATTTTTAATCATGAGATATTATGGCGCTACAAATTCTATAAGTATCTTCATCCCGACAAGATGTATCTTCTTTTTATTGTGGGAAGTAATATAATAGAAAGCAGCGACGAGATCCCCGTTTTCAAAAGCGTAAGATACATATACACTGCAGTTTTTGTCGCTGGAACCGAGGATTCTCTGTGAGAACCCCGCATACCGTGATGTCACACATACTGCAACCACGTTTACAATGCGCAGTGAAAAACTAAACGAGCGACGGTAGCCATAGCGGATCCACTTAATCGAGGCTGCCGGTCTACACAGAGTTTTTTATTGCCCGGTCACGATTAGGCGGTATGTTTGCAAAGAACCTTGGCCAATTGCTGACACTTGAATTCCATATTTCTCGCAATTAATTAACGCTGCAATACTAGACACGTGAGAGAAGCGCCATCGCTTGGTAGTCACACATTTTGAATCTTTATTTTTAATGCTTTCTGTACGTTTCTTTTTTAATTTTTAATATTAATAAATATTATATCATTTATTCATATGTATAATTGATTATAAATATTAAATTGAGATAATGAATTACGTGTTTATGCACACAAGATGGAATTCTATGTTTCGTTTATGCTTTTAGTCCCGGGCCTGTCCTAAGTCCTTGCAATATCCGGTGCGGTAGGCCGTGTTTCCGGTTTCTTTGTGATTCCACAGTTTGTTGTGTGTATTGGACGATTCTGATAAGTTAAATTTCATTATCTCAGCTAAATGCCAATTTTTATCGAATACGCGTTATTTAATACTGTGCGTTGAATTTTATATCGTCTGTTATTTTTTCAGAGATTTAGTTACAATATTTAAATAATTTTATTTTTTTCAATTGAGTATCTTCTATATATCTCATTTTCTAATATCTAGTTTTTTAGAAAGGTAATAAATTGCGCTCGTATCATGAAGATAATAAACGGAAGTGACGAAATCTCATCTTTGGCACGACATGCAGAGGATTGCGTATAGATTTCGAAAACGTTTGTTGTCCCGTAATTTCCCTCGGAATAGGAACGTTTCTCGCTTCGGTGACTCTAGGAAGGTCATATTTACAACGTAAATGACCTCCCTTATTCGCAACCAGGTGCTCACAATCAAAGATCGCAAACTTTCCGAAAAAAAAAATCCTTTTGAACAATAAAGAGCAGTCTTGTACTGATCTTATCTCGTTTTTATTTTTACATTTTTAGCGGGAAGCTTGTGAAATACGAAATAAAAAGATAAAATATTAATATTATACATTGACACAAGAGATAATTTTACATTTAACAATATAACTGTTACTTACAACTTGTGTTATATTACATTTATATTGTTGAGTGTAAAATTATATTTTTATGTTACTATTAGTTGATGTTTACTTTTTTTACTGAGTCATTGTGCAACAACAATAATAACAGTAATAATAATAATAATAATAATAATAATAATATGACAACAATGATAGAAATATTATCAGAAATACCTTTCTCTGTATCCTGATTAACTCTATAAGTGGTCGCGCCACCTCAACTTGCAATTATACAGGCATTTACTCGAGAGTCATTGGTCATTACTTCGTCACTCGCGTAATCAACTTAATCTCGGGTTCCTTGGAACATCCAGGTATGCACGATTATATGCACGTACGTGTGAGAATAAAAACGTTCATCTAAGATCGTTTCCTCCAATGTTCACGACCAACATTGCTTTTCCTCTTCCTACTCCGATTCTCCCTCTCACGGAAGACGGGATAAAAAGCACACAATAAAAATGTGTGTTTGCGTTAATTATTACGTGCCGCCTCGCCCGCATAAGGATGCGACGCAAAGAGAAGAAGACATGAGGAAGAGATACAGAAAAGGAGCGGGTAATGTCTTCTTCGAAGTTTTCTCTGTGGAAGAGGCCCCGTATGATGACAAACAATTACAATACTCTGTAATCAGGATATAGCTGATCAAAGGAAACTTCTCTATATCCAAGGATAATTTTTTCATAATGTGGAATGTCCAACAATGTTCTATATAATGCCCGAGAAAAATAAAAAATATAGAACACAAAATCATAATAAGATCAAAATAATATCAAATATAAAGGTAATTTTAAGGAATAAAAATCATAACGATGTCATTAAATACACGATGATTTTATAACGAATTTTTGACATAATAATGATTGTTTAATTAGGAACCACTTAAAAATTATTATTCGCCATTAATTCATTAAAATGATCGTTAAAGTGTATCTAGACATTATTATACTTTTTTAAAGTAACTTCTACTTGATCTGGAACTTATTATGATTTTGTGTTTTTTATTTCAGTATAAAAATGATGTTTCTTTCTGTGCTTACGTCCAATTGATGGGTCTATCAGTTGGATATTGGCAACTTTTCGTGTCGATCGGCTCTCCGATCCGATTTGTCGCCATCTTTAACAACTATTTACGGAGCATCAAACTCGCAGCGCGTTGTTCCTTCTGTTACGCCGAAGATAATTATAGATTATTATCCGCCTGCATTTTCTGAGGGGAACGTGAGATGAACTCGTCTGCTCGGATGGATTGGAGGCTTGGAAGTCTTTACCGAATGGACGATCTCAAGCAAACACACTACCGCCACCGTACGAAAACACTTCGGTCACGGTAAAAAGTAGGAATCACATTTGGTTCTTCATCATCAGTGAGGAATTCATCGTTGTTGATGTAACTGAGATAACGTATTCAATGCATAATCTTTCCAGATCGAGACTTCGTTTACACATGGAAACTCACCATCGTTTTTATCTCTCATACATGTGAGAAATAAAAATTTTTATCAGAAAGATATCTCAGACATGTAATATTTCAAGGATATAGGTCGCAATTACTTTTCTTCGTTGAAAATGTGGAGATATTATCGCAAAGTCCGTCGTATCGTAATGCATTTATCACATGTTGGGGGAAGAATAACCGTAGGCTAAGTTCAAGATTACGACAGGAAGTGTACTATGTTAACTACTAACAACAAGGAGCAATTCCCTATTGCATGCGATAAGAATAATCGAGTCTGGAAACGTCACGGTTATTGATGGAACCTCCGGAAAACGGTTTACTTTTTAAAGAAAGTTATTGAAAAGAATTTTTATGATTATACAAAGATTTGATGTGACAAAGATATATTTAAATAATGATAAAGAATAATATATTTTTCATATATATTTGGTATATTTTAAAACAAT